ACGAACTCAAAATTCTAAAGTTCGAGCATCGAAAAAGGATGATGGCATTATTCTTAGAAGGAAAAAACATGCACTGGTAAAAACTAGTGTTCCGGCTCCGAAAAGACGAAAGGTTGGTGACAACAATGGCGGAAAGAAGCTTTCACATGGGGATTTGGAGGTATTTTTAAAAAATTTCACATTAGTATACCTTATAAATCTAATTGGAATACTGATAAGTTTTAAATTTTATTTGAATAATAGACTACTGCTAGAAATTTATTAGAATACTATCTAATACTTTTTATTATATTTATTTGGCTTATTATATGTCCTTTTTTAAAAACTACTAGTGTGCGAAATTCAGTTGGTTTGGAATACTGGACCATATAAAGGAATACTGCAATATTCATAGGGAATACCATACTTATGATTTTTATAACTATTTAACATTAACTTTTTTATTCTGTAGTATTGGGATTTTTACTTGCCGGCCAGTGAAGCTTACAAAACAAAGCCAACCCACAATACAAATGTTAACATTGTAGATGAATTGAAGGAGAACCTTACTCCAAGACAGCTAGACATGTTTCAGAAAACTTGTTTTGGGCATTTTTTTGGTTTGCCCAAAATGCTTGTGCAGAATCAGCTTATACATGCCCTCCTCTTAAGGGAAGTATATCAACCAAATCAGGATGAGATTTGGATTGTGGTGAACGGTGTCAAGTTGAGGTTTGGCTTGCAGGAGTTTGCCTTGATTTCAGGTTTGAAATGTACTGGCGATGAAAAGAAACATTACAATTCTGAATATAAGAAAAACTTAATAGATACATACTTTAGCGGGGAATCATTGGTGAATAAGGCGTCTATTAGCGTTTGTTTCAAGGAGAATATGTGGATGACTGATGAGGACGCTGTGAAGATTTCCATTTTGTATTTTTTGAATACATTTTTATTTTGAATGCTCCCACAGAAATATGTTGACAATGATTACCTTGAAATTGTGGATAGAGGGGAGTTTAACTCTTACCCTTGGGGTAAAGTTCTGTTCCAATCAACCATTAATGGGTTGACAGATAAGTTGCGCACGAAGCCTCAATCGTACAGACTTGCGGGTTTCCCCCTTGCTTTTCAGTGTTGGTTCTATGAATGTTGCCCATATGTTAATGGTTTAATTGTTTCAAAGGTGGAAGACAAATGCCCCAGGATACTAAATTGGAATATAATAGAACAACCAAACTCAAGTCGTTTGAAAAAAAATATATTCAGTCTGCATAATTCACAGGTAATGTTACTAAATTTTAGAACAATCCAATTACCTGAACCATAGTATTTAATGTAATACTTTATATCATCACTAATATTTTTCATGATGATTATTTTGCAGTTAAATTTATGCAACATCTATCCAACAACATTGGAGAAGGAGATGCTTGATTTGACTGGTTTGTTTGAGGAGGTACATCATAATGAGTTAACACATAACCTCGATGATGATGACGACTTTACAACTCCTCCCCCTAAGTCCACGAAAATACAACCCAAAAACAGCATTGACAAAAAAACTAATAAGGTTGACTGGGGTGTTGAGATTAAAAAGCTATTCAACGAACAAGATGAACTAAAGAAAGAAGTTAGCGTTGGACTAGCAAAAATAAAGAAACAAGTGAAGCTCGGACAAAATGAATCAAAGAAGGAGATAACATCGTTGAAGGAATATCTCGTTTCTACGTTCTCTGACGTATTTAAAGCAATTGAATCATTGAAGATGAACAAAGAGGTCAACACACCCATAAAGGTCATATATTTTTATTTTATGTGAAATTTTTTACTAAGTCTTTTCTATTTGTGCTATCCCATTTGTTTATGCAAATACTATTTGTTTATCTAATTTTCAGCATAATATTGTGGAGAACGCTAATAGTAATGACGGTGGAACCACATTCGACTTGATGACTGACCACCAAATTAGAGTCGATGGAATTCAATTGTCCGACAAAAAGTGTGATGGTATGTTTGTAGCGAATATTGTATTTCAAATTGGAATATTATCATTTGTTTGAGTTACCTAATGGATTCTAAATTGGAATAGTTTTAAGAAAGAATCGTTTAAGTATTGTATTCCACACCTGAATATTGTGTTTTTTAAACTTGAATACTGTATTCTAAATTCGAATATTATTGTATTCCAAATTAGAATAGTGTATTCTAAATTATAACATTACATATTTAATTAGTATTAAGTTCTGTATTCCAAATCAGAATATTGTGGTATGTTGTTTCCAATATTACCATCTAAATTAGAATATTGTGAGTTTTATTTAGAGACGAATATTGTGTTCTTATACATTACAATATTGATTGACTAATGGTAGTATTGAGTGAATACTTTTAGAAATTATTGGAATATTACAGTTTCAATTTTGAATACTATAGAATCAATTTGTGAATTCGTGGGTATGCTATTATTTTACCATTTACATAGAGAAAGGAGGTGAATCCATTGGGATATCGGAAAACCTATATGATGGGGATGTCAAGGATGTGTCTGGTCAACACAGTAATGGTATTACAACTGTCGAATTTTCCAATGTTGGTATTGCAAGTATTTCTCATGAATAGTTTTCTTTTACAAATGTTTACCGTGACGCATAACCTGTTATTTTTCTAATAGAAATATATTGAGTAATGTACAGATCCTAGATTTGAAGAGGTTGAGGCAAATGAGAAAAATGCAGAATTAGAATTTGTTGAGCAGCAACAATTGGTAGATGTCCCTGAGACACAAATCGACCCAATTACCAGAGAGGTTGCCACTAAGATAACTCCAGTTAACTTGATAAGAGCAAGACGTCCTGCAGCTGTGCGTCGATCACCATATCTCACTGACTTTGATTCTGGTGCTACTAACCGTGAAGCTTCTTCCAAACAACAGATTTTCAAGGGAAAGTATCCGTTTGAAGTCTCAATTAAAGAGAAAGTTGATGCGACCATCCTTAGAGAGTTTACCAAATTTGTAAAAAAGGGGCTTAACACCAAATTAAAGTAAGCTTACGTTTTATTTATAACTTTTTTTATGCTTTTGGATTTGATGTTTATTTTGAATACATGTAAAAAAAATTGTCAGGGAGAAGTATTCTAATAAGAATAAAAAACTAGATCCTGTTTTTGACTTCGGAGTTACACATATAGAAGATAAGCTATGGTTTCACGCACTCAAGTTTGGTGGTCAACCCCTAGATGGCTGGGTATGTTTTTCTTGGAATATTGTTTATTGGTTTACGTTGTTTTATAGCTCTTCTTTAATAGTCTATATATTATACAATTCTTTATAGAATATTCATGTCGTTACTGATTATTTTTTATATCGACATGTGCAGCATTTAGATGTAATATTTTACTATTTGAGGAAGAAAGGTCAATACGGGGTTAATATTCCTACAAAGTTCACTACCACTGATCGTTTCTTCGATGTTAGTATCCAAGGTGTCTATGAAAAGTATGTATCAAGTAACAATCAAGGATCACTGATTGATACATCGAATGTAATAGCCAAGTACATTCTTGGCAATCATATGCAACGCAACACAGCGTGGTATAATGTCGATCACGTTCTTTTTTCAATATATGTTTCAGAACGATGGCATTGGATTCTAGGAATATTAACATTTCAAGATAGGTGCATATATGTGTATGACTCCATTCGAAGTGCGCATCATGACGTTGAAGTTCGTAAAGTTATGGAGTCGTATTCCATCTTGATTCCATATTTTTTGGAAAAAGTTGGATTTTATGAGAAAATGAATGATAGTGTTTTGGATGGTGTTGCATATGCCGGAAAGTCATTGGTAGACCCCTTTGAAGTCTTAATGGTTAATGACTTACCATTACGGGAAAACACGTATGTCATCCACATATTGGCATTGTTATTTTCAGATTTTTAACTCTCCCATTAGCTTATTAGATGTGTTACTAATATTAGTTTAAATTTCAATTTCAGTGACTGTGGAGTTTATGTGGCATCCTTTGCTGAATTCTTTATTGAAGGTCTGGAAATCCCTATTGACAAGTTTGATGCTAAGGGATATCGCAACAGGTTGGGAGCAACTCTATGGCAATACGGCAAGATGAAACAAGATGCAAAAATAGCTAGTGATTCTGAATCATAACTGTAGTTGGAGATGTTGGTTGTTTTTAGATAATTTTTGGGGTATATCGCTACTTTATTCAGTTTCTTTTTAACAAGTACCCTATTATTGTTCAATTTTAATTTTAATAATTTTTTGTCCAAATGAGATTTGCATTAGTTTTGTCTATTCCAGCTCGTAGTTATTCAAGTGAAGCCATTATAGCTCAATCAGGGTATATACAGGATAAAAGCATTCCTTCGAATTGAATGAATATTTCTTTTTCAGAACCTCTTACACTTTTTATCTACCAAGTTATTAAATAAAAATTGTTGCATAAAGCTTCCAGTAGAGTTTTGTCTAAAACCTTATATTTTTCACATATTCCAAATTATAATATTGTGATATGTTAGGTTTCAATATTGTATTCCAGTAAATTCTTTTGTACTTGACTATGCATCATTTAGTATGACTCTATTGAATATTGTATTCCAATTTAGCATATTGTATTCGAATTAAGAATATTGTATTCTAAATTAGAATATCAGAACTATGTTATTATAACTCTATTGAATATTGTATTCCAATTTAGCATATTGTGCTCCAATTAAGAATATTGTATTCTAAATTAGAATATCGTACTATGTTATTATAACTCTATTGAATATTGTAATCCAATTTAGCATATTGTGTTCCAATTAAGAATATTGTATTCTAAATTAGAATATTATACTACTTTGTTATGGTACTTTTACACATCAATGAATGTAGCTGCTAATTTTCTTCGAATTTGTAACGGCGCTATACTTCTGCTATGACGATATTGCAAATACAATAGTACATATTTGGAAGCATATAAAAGAAAATGCAAACCATTTATTATAAAATTCAATATCAGTTCCCTTTTGAGTAAACCTAACAAAACAACGACAAAGTTATCATATCTCTAATAAAATGACAAATTTAATCTCTTCTAGGAACATTTCTGCATGTTCTTCGATTGTGACACTCATGTCCACATTGTTTGCAAGTATTTTTTACCTTTTTAGCGTGTCGTTCCCATACATACAATCCTCTTTTTTTCTTCGGCCTTCCTGGTTGTATTTTTCCTACTGGTGGAGACACCGATTCTTCCAAGATGTCTGTAGGAATATTCCAGTTTCTTTCACTGGGTATAGGGTGCACATATTCTTCATATGTCTTCATTAAATATCCCTTGGTGTAATAAATAGAGCAAAATTCATATGGATCCATGCCCTTGCTCGTCACAATCGCCAACGCATGAGGACACGGTATCTCATCCATTTCAAATCTCTTGCAAGAGCAGGTTCGATTGCCCAGATTCACCATATAACGAATTCCTTCTTCATAAACTGTATGTATGTGCTCGTTCGAAGGTTTCACCTGCATTTATGAAAATAAATGCATTAGTATACTGCTTTCACTCATACGTCTTCTAAAAAGTTTGAAAATATATATGTACAAATATAATGCAACTTACAGTCATCATCTGAGAATCTAAATAATTATCAGACAGGATATCTTCATATTTCTTTCCCAGCTTAGTATTAGTCACCTTTGCATTCATGTTGTTTTTGTAATTCCAATCCCGAACCAACGAATGTATTGACTCCAACAAAGGCAGTATAGGTAGTTCTCTTGCACTCTTATTTACCGAATTCATTGACTCGGTAATGTTAGATGTCATAACCATGGTTCTGTTAACTTCAGAGTAAGCTCTTGACCATCTGTGATATCCAGCATTAAACAAGTATTCTTTAACCCTCTTGTCAATACTATTTATATTACGCATATGTTGCTCAAGTTCTTCAGTAGTGTATGCTCTTGCAGCCGCAAAGAACAAGTTCTTGATATTCTTTTTACTCTTTTTGTACCTTGACTTTATATTGTTCCACAAATGGTATATGCATGCACAATGAGGTACTTCAGGATACACAGTCAAAGTTGCCTTTGCAATACTCAGGCTATTCTTTAGATCGTTCCACTCGTTTAAGAATACTCATACAGTCTAATAAAATAATAAAAAAACCCAAAGAAAAGAAGCGAGGCTCGCTGAACTATTGATTAACGTCCTTCAAAGAAAAGAGCCACTCCCACGAGGCATCATTCTCCGAATCAACAACTGAATATGCAAGAGGAAAATTTTTGCCTGTTTACATTATGAACCACAATTATCATACAAATAAAGAAGTTAAATAATTTTATCAACAATTATTATGATACCAAGTAAATACAAGAAACAACAGAAACATTTAGTTGTTATATACTGTTACTGATAATAGTATTGCAAAATGTTTGAACTTACCATCTGCATCCTGCGTGCATGCTATGATTAAAACGCCTCGGTGTGCAAATTTCAAAAAGGTGCCATCAACTACAACAATAGGCTTGCAATATTCCCAACCCTTAATTGTATTCCCAACCCTTAATTGATGCATACAATGCAACAAAAACGTACAAGAAGCATCCATCTACAGACTTATGGAGCTTTGCTACAGATCCAGGATTTGTATTCAACAACATATAAATGTTGCTTGGGATCTTTTCATATGATCCGCTTGGATTCCCTCGCATTATTTCAAGAGCTTTCTCCTTCGATCTCCAAGCTTTCATATATGTAATGTCCAAACCATAATCTTTTTTCATGTCACGCATGATGTCTGCTGGTGTGTATACTGACTTCGGATTATCATACTTGCTACTTATCATACTTCCAATGATACCATAGGTAGCATGACGTTGCCTAGCTAATTTATCCTCAACGGTGCAAGTGTGAACACTATTAAACTTCGTCACTTTAAAGAGTTCTGTATTGTGCAAGCTTGAGGATTTCAAATACCACGAACAGCTTTTGCTCACACATTCAAGGCAGAACCTAATTTAAACATAATAAGGTATTCGACTTAGAAGATGCAAATAAGATAACTCAGTAATATAAACTACAATTGTATTCACTCCGTATGGTGCAACATTCAACACGTAATGAATACTATTCTTTTATAATATTCATAATATTCACCTAAATTATGATTTGGATGTATTCATAACTAGTAATATTCCATTACATATGGGTGTATTCAGAATATATGATACAAAATGTACAGCACTATTCATGTCTAAACAAACAATAAACCATTTGCATTCAAATTATATATCCTACGTAAATATTACTTAATGACTAAGGAGTATTCTTCCCATGTAAAATAATATTCTAACGTCTTGCAATATTCAAACAAAACACAATAATATTCATATCATATATGTTGACGAATATTCACGTTGAACATGGAATAAATATCCAACAGAAGAGTACTACATTTGTTATTGACGAACAGAAAGACTTCCATATACCTCTTGGAACAAGACTTTTTAACCATGAATTGAAATTTCTTGCGTATTGCATAGTGGTTCATGGCAGCATAAAGTGTTTCATTGTCTTGGTATAACTGTCCTTCTTCAATTTCTTGATTTAAAGGGTCGCTTATTATACCATCAGAAAGTACACCAATATCATTTTGATAAGTTCCATCTCCGATCATCAACATAGTCTCGACGCATACCATTTCGGGTATATCTAATCCTAGATAATCATCACACAACGTTCCTCTAGGTTTTGCATCTGAGGAACACAACCCAGTATTCTTCTCCTTCATCGCTATGCATAACGAAATCTCTGTGAACTCTAAGTTCCTCCTTTTCAATTCAATGTAAAGCCGAACGCTCATGTCGTTAACCACTTCGATTGGTGTATACCGTTCCTTAACCTTGTACTTAATATCAATCAAGTTTGTACCATTGCAAATCCCTATATGCTTTGCAATTACCTGCACCAATTCATCGTATTTGCAACAAAAATAGATAACAACTCCGTTAATAGAATAATTCACATAACTGCCGCTGTCCCATACTCTGCCATGTTGAATCATGATTGGTATATCTTCCATTTCAACTGATGAAGTTTTATTGAATTACATAAAACTTGTATGCTGAAAAAAAAAAATATCGTGGAGAAGAGGAATAGGGTCTTACTAGGAGAGAGGTGAATCTTAAAATTCAATACATACACGTTTCAGCAGTCATGGCTACATTTAAGGGATATTATCACCTAAAATATTGGTATTCACGATTCTTGGGTATCACTAATTGGGTATACGAAGTAATTAGTTAGGGATATACTATGTAAATTCCAAACTGAGGCATATAAAGAAAAGATATACTATATGTGGGTATACCGTGTTTTTTTCCCAAGATTTTAACTTGCTCGCTGAGCTCCGTAACGTGGGCTTGTGACCCAAGCGTGGGCAATTATGTGATTGGATATGTTTTGATTGATTCAATAGGTGAGGCTTGAGCCATTACTTGGTTGGATTGCGTTGTTGTGTACCGATCAATTGAGTACTTGAACACGTTTAATTGTCTTGACAGAGCAGGCCGTGATTAATTAATCGAGTACGTGTGATGCGTGCAGGACTGCAGGTTAATTGTCTTGGTTCGACCTCACCTATTATACTAACTTGGACTTTCACATTTTTAAGGCATCCAATTACTTTTGGGAAAATTTTACTTTACAACAATTGGTCTCCCTATTTTTAAATTTTATAGCTCATATTTCAATTTATAACCTACTAATCCGAAAATAATAGGCTAATACTCAACATTCAACTTCAATAGGTTCTCGAAATTAATGTTTAATTTTTAAAAAAGATTGTTCAAGCTTATAAGTTAATTTTCGAATCAGTAACTGTGACTCAATTATTAGTTCAACAAACCAAATCCATTTGGGTGGTGAAAATTAGATTTTTAACGAGCTTAAATATGTGGATTTAAACTCCGAATTTGATTTGGTGAAAAATTTAGAGTGGGTGTTATTTAGGCTTGTTAGAAATAGTAAAGGAGGTTGTATATAAAATTTGAGCTCATTTAATGGAGATTTGGACTGATTTTGAAAGAATTGCAACTGAAAATCGTGGAAGAAGTACATCTACAGACGCTTGTATAAAGGTGTATAAAAGTGTATAAGATGTGTTTATACACTATTATACGAGATTATACATAATTATACAAAAAACTGACTTCGTCTTCTTCGTTGCGTCTTTTCTGAAATTTAACTCAAATCTTGTTCAAATCTACTTCAAATCACTTCAAATTTAAATTTTGAACTCCTCTTGATATTTTCAATCAATTAGAACAACACCCAATCCAAACAACTAACAAACTCAAAAAATCTTATTTTTGAAAGCAAAGCTTTGAATGGCCTTCAATGGTGGACTTCTACTTTTTAATTTTCTTACATTGCAATCAGGTGACACAAGGAGGGAAGCAATAATGGCGGACGGCCCCATAAAGCATATGTAGAAGATGTGAGAAGAAGAGAGAGTTTGAAAGCAATGGTTGTGAGAACACAGATTTAACTCCATTGCTTTTAGAAGCAATGGTTGTAACACAGATTTTAAATTTGCTACTGCTTTCAAAATATGTACAATATGGGCTAGGTCAGGTGAAACTTACAAACATTAGCTATTTTTTGTTATTGTATAAAGTCATGTGTATTTTCTTGTGATTCTTTCATTAATATTTTTGAATCATTTCATAATATTTTTAAAATATACTTTTGATAACAGAAAAGAATGAAGTATTGTTATGAAATAGCAATATTAGACGGTGTATATAATTTTTCTTGATGATCTTTCGATGGCTCAAACTAGCCTATTTATTAGTGTGTAACGAAGAAAATTCTTTCATTAATGTTTTTGAATCATTTCATAATATTTTTAAAATATACTTTTGATAACAGAAAAGAATGAAGTATTGTTATGAAATAGCAATATTTGACGGTGTATATAATTTTTCTTGATGATCTTTCGATGGCTCAAACTAGCCTATTTATTAGTGTGTAACGATAACCAAATCGTCACATGCTTGTAAGAAAATTGGTAAAGGAGACTTGCCGCCCATATAATATAACACTTGGCCAATGAATATTGTCGCATGGATAGACACTTTTCACTTGGCCAATAAGCTCAACACTTGTCTATAAACCTTTTTCTAGCTATCTGCTTGTCTCTGATACTTTTGCATGACATTCACATAATATGTTACTGCGCCCTTGGATGTCCATTGATAGATAATGTATTTCATTAGGTTCTTATTAGGAAAAAATCTTATGGAAAAAAAAATCCTAGTGAATAAAAAAGTAAATATATCTAATAATACGCATAGCTAGCTGCCTCACTAAAAACCTTATCAGAAAAATTCTATTGGGACAATATCTTAGTTAAGAAAAAAGAGTATAATACGCATTTTCCTCTCCGTAATGAAGATATCACTTTATATCTCGTAGACGACGTATTCCAATCTTATATACTAAATTTTCAAATATTAAGGCCGGCAGCGCCTTATGAAAAAATATGTCAAATTATCACTTGAACAAACTTGTTAAATGTTTATTTCACAATTCTTTTGATGAACATGAATGAATTTTTTTATTTTTGGTGAAATATATTTTGTTATGTTTTCTTTAATGTATCCTCCTTTCAGTTGAGCTATGCATGCACATTATCTTCATATAATATTGTTAGAATATTCCTTTGCAGATGGAGACAACATGTTACCTGAATGTTTTAGCTATTGATCTCAACCAAGTATATTCTCGACTTGCTTCATGAATAGTTATTATCTCTGCATGATTTGATCAAGAGGTAGCAATTAGAGCCTATGTTGTTGAACTCTAGGATATTGTTGTATCTCCATAAGTAAATAAATTGTCGGTCTCAGGTTGAACTTTATGTGGATCATATAAATAACCTACATCCGCATAATCAATTAGTGGTGAATTACATTCATTTGAATAGAACAAACTCATATTGATCGTTCCTCGGAGGTATATGAAATGCTTAATACCATTTCAGTACCTTCGTGTTGGGCAATAACTAAATCCTGCTAATAAGCTTATAGAGAAAACTATATCATCTTCTGTAGACATTAAATAGCCGCTTCCCCAGACATTATGAACAAACCCTCGAAATATAATATTCTGCCCAGCATTTCAGTATTGGATTTGGAGAGTTTAAATTGGGGATTTGGATGTCGATTTGGCATTGGATTTTGGTGAATTTGGTATGGTTGAACTCGTGGTTGAATGGGGCTTCCGGATTCTGTGACTTTTATTCGATTCCAAGATGTGGGCCCGGGGGACAATTTTTTAATTGACTTTTTGAATTTGATTAAGAACTTAGTGTTTACTTATGGAATTGATCTCTTGTGACGACCCGACCCGTCGTCTCAGGAGCTACCGCCCCGTTTCCCCCATTTTATGCTTCTTCATGTTTCGTTATCAGTATTTGGTGTGTTAGAGTTGATTTGGATTGGTTTTGATAAGAAATGAGACACTTAGTCTCTTTAAGGAAGGCTTGGGTTGAAAAAGCCAACCAGAGGTTGACTTATGAGTTATAGGGCTCAGATGTGATTTTCGGTGATTCGGTTAGCTTCGGGGGATGATTTGTCACTTAGGAGTGTGGTCGGAATTGATTTTGAAGGTCCGGTGTAGAATTAGGCTTGAATCGGCGAAGTTAGTATTTTGGCGAATTCCGGTTGATAGGTGAGATTTTGATCCGAGGGTCGGAATGGAATTCCGAGAGTTGCAGTAGCTTTGTTAGGTGATTTGGGATGTGTGTGCAAAATTTCAGATGATTCGGAGGTGGTTTGGTTTGGTTTTTTATCGAATGCGAGTTTCGGAAGAATTTGAAGAACTTAGGATTGGATTTGATGTAATTTGATGGTTTAGTGTTAATCGTGGTGTTTTTTATAGTTGGAACAAGTTTGAATAACGTTTTAGGACGTATTGGTATTTTTGGTTGAGGTCCCGGGGGCCTCGGGGTGAGTTCGGATGGTTAAAAGGAGAGTTTTGGAATTTTTCATGTGCTAAGTCTGCTGCTTCTGGTATGTTTTCGCTTCTGCGAAATTTGGACCGCAGAAGCGGTATCGCTTATGCGATTGGGGAACCGCAGAAGCGGTTGGAGCTTGAGTTGGGTTTTCCGCAAAAGCGGAAGTTTGGGCCGCAGAAGCGGTCCCGCTGGTGCGATTCCTGGGCCGCAGAAGCGGTCGAAGCCTTTAAGTGGAAAACCGCAGAAGCGGTATAAAAGTCGTAGAAGCGGTCCCGCATAAGCGGAAACGAGACCGCATAAGCGAAAAAGAGCTGGGCAGAGAAGATTTTTAAAATAACATTTCATCCGCGAGCTAAGGGTATTTTCCTCCATTGTTGAACATCTTGAGAGCTTTTTGGGAGCAATTGAAGAGGGTTTCGACTGAGATTGACTGGAGGTAAGTTTTATGAGTTAAAAACACGTGTGAAATTAACCTAGAAATTCATGGAAATTAAGCCTAAAATTGATGAACTAGGGCTTGGGATTTTGAGATGTTAAATTGGGATTTGATGGGTCATTTGAGCTCGGATTTGAGAGTTCTTGGTATTTATGAACTCGTGAGAAGATGAGGAATCCATTGATGTTAATTTTTTGACTTTTCGGGAAGTGGGCCCGGGGCTCGGGTTTTGCTAATTTCGAGATTTTTGATATTTTTTGATTGTTTTCGATTGGGTATTGTTCCCTTAGCATATTTTGATGTATTCGCTCTGATTTTGGTTAGATTCGACGCGCGTGGAGGCCGATTTGATGGGGCAAGGGCGTCGCGAGCTAGAGATTTCACCGGTTCGAGGTGAGTAATGATTGTAAATGATATCCTGAGGGTTTGGAACCCCGGATTTGCACGCCGTAGTGCTATATTGAGGTGACTTGCACGCCGGATAGCGAGCGTAGGGTAGAGCACCGTTGGGGATTGTGACTTGGTCCGTCCCGATTGTTGATTTTACCGCGTATTTGACTGAAACTTATTTGATATTATCATGACTTGGGCTGATTGCCATACTTGGGGCTTATTGCCGACTGTT